TGTCGTTTCGCTGTCCCCCCCCCCCCCCGCCCCCCCCCGCGCCCCTCGCCGTCGAGGACGACGTGTTGGGGTTGTTTGGGTCGAACGCGTCGGGCGCATCCATGCAGTCATACTGTTTCGCAAAGCGATACGCCGCGGACTGCAGCAGCACGCGCACATAATAGGCGACGAAACAAGCGAGAGCAGGGAGATGGGGAGGGTCGTCATCACACCACCGGGGGGGGGGGGGGGGGGGGGGNGGGGGGGGGGGGGGGGGGGGGGGGGCGGAGATAAATTTAAACGCTGTTGAAGAGCTCTGCTTGCTCCCGGTGCAAGCAAAATACATGCAATTGTTTTATTCTCTTCTTTTCCGGGATAGACTAGTAGATCCAAGTGCAAATGCATGTGGCATCGTACAGCTAGCTGCACTTCGACTTCTTCCTGGGAAGACGCGGAGTCCAATTGATTGTCGATTATTCCACAATGTATTATCGACGAGCGCAATTGACCGAAGATGTTCGATCATGCAGAGTAAAGAATCCTTGTCCCCACGGGAGAAACCTTCCAGGAAGAAAGCGGGAAAAAAGCGAATAATTCTCGTGTTGTGGATCCTACCGTATGCGATGCGTCCCGAGTGCAGAAAGGTGCATGCGAGCTTCATTGTAGCATGCACACATAGATCTACCAACAGCCGGGGGCGTCGGACGTGTTTGCTATCGCTCTCGAAGTACAAGCCTGTCTTTTCATTATGGTCTGCTGTGTCTGCCGGAAACTGCTGTAGAGCGGTCGATGAAAAAAAAAGACACCAAGCACTTCGTGGCAACTCATCCGCTGTATATAATATTTATATAGTCTTATATAGTCTAGACTATATCCCCGTACAGGTTGACTAATGCTGTGGCCCGCAATTAATTGTTTGTGCCCCGCAATCAATCGTCAAGGTAACCAACTTGTGGTACGTAGCGAATATCATACGGGATGAAGACTTGAAGAGAATTCTTGAGGCAGTACTTCCTGTACATGGGATGCCCATTTCTGGAGTGCAGCGTTGAGTTCGGTCGGTTTGTTGATTGGTGCATTGATGCGGACTTTTCCAGGCCGTCCGATCGCACATTGGCGATTTCGACGCACTTGTGCTTGCTAAAACTGGTATATGTTGTGTGCAGCCAAGTAAGTAGGTTACCGTTGAGCGTAACCCTACCGTGAGCGGTTAGGCCAGCCGAGAGTGTTGTGGCAGCTTTCGGGTGGTTTGGGTTTGAGAGCAAGATGTCGTTGTGAAGCAATGCAGAGAAACGCGAAAGTTTGATGTCGGGCACGAAAACCTCTACATAGAGGAATAGAAGCGAATTCCGCTTTGCTGTGGGCGCCGCCCTCAATATTCCAGGGGCAAACCGGCGCCGTTTCGTTGGGTGGGCAAGAATGAGGAGGCGCGGCGCAGCCGCAGATTGATACATCAGAACATAAGAACATCAGAGCACGTAAATGCCGACGGCGAAATATAGGCGATCCACGTAAATAGGCGGCAGCCGCTGACCCAATCGGCGCCAGTTTTCGTCCTCAGCTGCTGCTCTTCCAGTGATATCTCATCGCTCGTAGTCTCCCCCTCTGGTTGAATGAACGCACGGTCTATCATCGTTCACTAACAAACAGAGAAGCTCTGATCCTGCTGTACGGCGTCACACATTCACGAAAAACCTGCACCGGTGGGTAGACACTAACTTGCTATGCAAAGAGACTGCTGCCGGCGAATATTGCCACCGCTCGCTTGACAAAAAATGTGTCACGTTTCGCTTTCGAGACTGCTGTTCATGTCCACGCTTCTCAGAGTAGCCAGAGAAGAGAGACAGGAGTATACAGAGACTAAGACGTCCATGATTTGGTACTGTATGCATAGGCGGCGTTTGGATAAAAGCGCGGGGTCAAATGATGCCCGCGCGTGAGAGGCATCGCACACATGCATGATACTGTAGGGACAAAAAGAAAACTACCACCGGTGGTTGATATACGTTGGATCTTCCAATTTTTGGCTCGAAATTTGAACGGAACCACACACAACAACAGGCATGGGGGAAATGGCAAAGACTGCTACGACGTAGTGGGCCGTGAGCCACATCATGGTCCGCGGGGAGCGCGAACAGCGGTGCTCAAGCAAGAGAGATGTACGACCGTAGAATACGTGGTGTGGGACGCACCGCATCTATCCGTGGTTTTCAAACCTTTCTACGCTATGCATAAAAAAAAAAGCTTCCGAAAAATATCTAGGGCGCGCAGCAGGTGACAAGACGGCCGGGGCTGACAACCGCAAGCAAGGACTCGCAAGACACACAAAGAACGCCCTGCCCCCCCCCCCCCCCCCCCCC